TGACAGAATTGGTAATAATGTGTATTTGGTATCAGTCCCTGTTACAACGGAACCCGGAACCGTAAGTCATTTTCTTGAAATAAACTTATGCATTACTGAATATGTCCCGTATGCGTACGGGGGAGTATTTGAGGGATTAAAACGTAAATTTGGTGCAAAAACGTGCGTGCATGTACGTGTGTGTATGTCTATTTGTCTGTATATATGTATATGTGTGTTTGTGTGTGTATTTCTCTGTGTGTTCGTGTATGCACTTGTTTGCAAGCACGTGTATATGTGTGTGCGTGTGTCTGTACCTCTACTCTCCTTTATTTTCTCACTGTTTTCGAATTTCCTTCTTGTACCTTTAGTCATATGTGATATTGCACATGGTGGGTAGGAGGCTATACTGATGATTCCCAGCTGTTTTAGGTCTGTGTTTGCGGCTAAGGGATGAAACACGAACTGCATTCTAACATGTCTTCTTGCACATGACACCTAGATTGCTCCTTTGCCTCTTTTATTTTATCTCTACATATGCGAGTATATGCGCGTGCGTGTTTACACTTATATATACGTGTTTGTGTATGTGTCTGTGGTATGTATGCTGCATGTGTGTATTTGCACGCATGTATGTGTGTGTATGAAGTGATGGAACGTGATAAGTTAGGTTCTTGGTGGGGTGGAGGGGGGAGGGAAGGTGTTTCTGATGAGAACGTTGTTCTTCGACAGCGTACAATAATAATCAAGGGCGAAACACCCTCCCTTATATTTGCCACCACAGTGGTCAGCCCGAGTTCCGATCTCACATGTGTTTTAGGATGGTGCAGTTACTTACCAGAGGCAGAATCGTATACAAATTGAAGTATGTAGCTTAAAAAGTGTTGGGGGAGGGGGGCCTGGTTTGAATGCATGCTGTTGTCTTGTATCTGGCGCGTGGATGCCGTGCTGGCTCATTTTTCTCCATTTTCTCCCCAAGTTCTCTATTTAAGTACGCGGATGGTCTCCGAAAATCGTCTGAGTGCTCTTTTCCCTTAGCAATTTTATCATAAAAATAATGCTTGTGTTTCAGCATGCGATTGTTCAACAGCAACATCAACAGCAGCAACAACAGCGACAACCATCGCATGCGGTGATGTCTTTCGGTAATAAACTGGTAACAATCAAAATTGAACAAAGAGAAAATCAGAATTCAGTTTCAAACGCTGATCAGAAAATTTGAACTTTTTTTTTTCAAAACTGATGGGAAAAAATACGATTTTGACAGAAACTCGTGGAACTTATTTCATTTAAAATTAATCGATTGTCGAAGTTTACTTTTTTTCAGTCCCTTCCATATTGCTGTTGTCAACCGTATTTTTTCCCATTTCAGTCTAGGATTGCGCTTGTAAGTAGTGTTAAGTTTGCAAATATGCACTGCTGCATTGTGATATCGCAGATCTCTTTCTGTTTTCTACGTCTTTTTTTTACCATTAGTACCATTTTTATTATTTTCATTTTCATTTATCACCAAAAGTGATTTTACCTCGAGTTCGATGTCCGCTTTTTTTGTGATCACGCATCTACCAGCCGGGGACAGGAGTTGACTCCACCAATGCCCCAGGAGTTTAACTCCACATAATACCTTTGTGATTCATTCGTTCGCTTGGGACTAATGTATACCAGGGAGTTGGGACCGCTATTAGCTTGCTTTTAAGCAATTCTTGCCAAAAACAGGTGATCGGCAACAACCTTTCCACCGAGTGGATTGGCGATTGCCACCGTTTCGACTGCTTGCGAATGTCTTCGCTTCTCTGCGAAGGTGAATCACAGAGGATCTACCTTGAGTGGAGCTTTTCTGCTGCAGAGAACTTTATTAAAT